TGGGTACACCACCCGCAGCACCGCATAGCGCAGAGCGATCACTGGAGGAAACTGCTCCGAACCGTGATGAAAAACATCAAAAATTGAAAACAAAGGAGTCACACAACAAAATAAAGAGAAAGGAAAAAAAAAAAAAACCCCTGAGTTGTAAAAACAATAGTGCCGTTTGGGAAGGTAACCAGCTCTTGCATCACACCAGCTTACCAAATACTTACTCCAGTAGTTAATAAGAAAAAGGAAGCATCAGATTGCCCCACACTTCTCAGAAACAAGAAGGCACAGTAAAGGATGGGACTGAGAGTCACTCACCACCTCACCCGGCGAGCAGCGCTCCCTCCCTCCCGGGCCACGGACCGGGAGGGACCCCCAGCTGTGCCAGATTTAAGGGGCTGGGCACAGGCAGTGTGCTGGGCAGGAGCAGCTTTTAAAAGCACAACACAGCACAATCTAGAAATTATACTGTCTTATTTTGAAATGTCATTTCTGATCCTCATTTGTGCTGGGCATCCCTGCATGCTACGCTTGCGCACGTGTATGAATGATGCGTGTGTGTGTACCTGCGCGAAGGGTTTCACTTTCTTGCAATGACTACTTCTCACTACAGAAATAATACTTCAAATATTTTAAAACACTAACCAGATCCACCGCTGCTTTTACAACTATTTTTTTTTCCTTTTCCCAGAGTGAGAAACCACAAAAATCTCACACTTCATATTTGCAAGGGTACCTCCTTCGGTGCCATCGCCTTCAGCCCCCAGGTGGGCCCCGGCTGGGCGCCCGCAGGGTACGGCAGCTCCGAGCTGCCCCGGGCCGGGTCACAGAGCCGACCTGGGCGATGACAAGAAACCTCTCCGTGACCGCTGGGGAGCCGGTCGCAGTCCCGGGAGCGCAGCTGGCCCGCGCCCTGCTGGAGCCCTTCAGCGCAGGGACTGCCGTCTGCTGCGGTAACGCATCAGCCCGGGAGCAACAGAGATGCTTTCCCTTTGACATACAGAGCTAAACCAAAGCGTGCCCGCTGGACATCACCCTCACTCTTCCACACGTGCCTAAGCTGTCATTTGCTTTAAAACGTTCAATTTAAAATGCAGATGGTGCTGGGAACGTGGGAAAAGGGAGGAGGAGAGGCACAAGCAGGTGACTGTTAGGTGTGACTGGGGTGAAGGCACTGGGTCCCAATGCCTATGGAGCTGCTCCAAAGCACAGCCCAGCGGAGCCTGCGTTGCCTCCGCCAGCACACTCCCAGCGCAGCTTCCGTGTGCTTTTTCTTGTGTTTTCAGGTTTCTGCTGCTCTGGAGTGCGGTGCTTATCATGTACCCTACCAGCCTGGCCGTCATTGCGCTGACCTTCTCAAACTACGTCCTGCAGCCCGTCTTCCCTAATTGCACCCCCCCCTATAATGCCTCCAGGATCCTCTCCATGGTGTGTTTACGTGAGTATTTGCTTCTCGCACACACACAAAGCTTGCCTCGGTTTTTGCATGGAACCGCTCGAGGGGCCGCTCCAGCCAGGCTGGGGCCACGGCCACAACCCAAAAGGCAAGTGGGGAGGTCCCAGGACAGGCACCACGACCACTGCAGGATACTCTGTCCCTTCCCGCTTGCTCGCGGCAAGCACAGCGGGCTGCGGTGCCCGAATCCCTGCGGCTCCTGGGGAAAGCGGCAGCAGGTCAGCTTGTGGGATGGGGCACTGCTGGGCTCCCTGCAGAGCCATGGGTGCCCGGCACGGGTGACCCTCCGGCACGGGCTACCCACTGCCACCTGAGCCCTTCCGAACCTTCTCTTACGTGCGCAACTGCAAGCGTGTAGGACACGCGGCATGCCGCCGGCTCCGCGTTAATTTCTTACGGAGCCGGCAAAAGCAAAGCAGGGCGATGGGGACGGAAGAGGCTCACTGGTTCCGCGAGGAGGTGGCGATCCCTGCTTGCTGAGCTCTGCGCGGGTTACCAGAGCTGGGGGGAGCCCCGACCAGCAGTGCCCGAGGGAAAGCTGCTGGCTCCTCTGGGAGCCTCCTCGGGGAAGGCAGTGCTCCTCCTCATCCTTGCTCCTGGCCACACGAGAGCTCCCCCCCCCGGGAACGTGCACCTCGGTCTGTGTTTTTCAATGCTTTGGCTGTGTATTCTTAAACAAACATAATTTCCTTTCACTGAATTCAGTCTTTTGCTCTCCAGTCCTCCTGACCTGGGTGAACAGCTCCAGCGTTCGATGGGCAACGCGCATTCAGGATATATTTACAGCAGGAAAACTCTTAGCCCTGGCCCTTATCATTATTGTGGGCTTCATACAGATCTTTAAAGGTACTCTGTGAGACCGCTCTAACATGGGTATGGTACTGTTGATAGCCTTGACTTTTCCCACTTACTGCACTGTTTCATACCCCTGACGAACCAGCCCGAAGGCGCGGGGGGTTTAGCGAGCTGCAGGGCTGTATACTCAGGCAGCCGTGGAGAGGATGGCACAGCAGAGAAATTAGCTGTATCCCTTTAAACAAGTCCCTTTTTGACCTGCCCTGTTGGTTCTGATAGGATAAAGGAGGGCAGCTGAAGATGTTCCTGAATAGTTACTGAAATTTTTTAATCATCTGTTGCACGTTCTTTAGATTGGAAATGCTCTGGGTGTAAAATCAGTGACGCCTTGCCCAGGGCGCGAAGGTACCTGCTTCATTTTGGGCCATAGTCCAATTTCCTACAGCAAGTCATTTATAAAATTAAAAACAGGCAAAAAAAGTCTCTCTGATTCTCCATCTTAATGGAAAGCAGGGAACACAAAAGGCTCACAATGTTGTTATTATGTGTATGATGAGTCATGTAAAGGGAGATGAAATACGGCGTTTACAGAGAGCAGGAAACGTGTTTTCTCAGCAGTAATAGTCCCGCAATCTTGACAAATCTTCCAGCCCCATAGGCATTTTATTTTTCAGTATTTCTACTAAATGACACCAAACTCTTGTAAAAGAAAACCACATTAAGAGCAGGTAAGAATTAACCCCGCCAAGGAGCCATCCTCAGACTGGCCGGGTTGGTCCCACGCGTCGCGGCAGTGACGCCGGCGCCGTGGGCGCTGCCCGTGCATACAGCCCGAGCTGCCTCCCAGGAGGCCACCCCGCAGAAGGCACCGCAAGCGCGATGCCAGCTGTGGTGACCTCTAGAACATGGAGAGCGTGAAGCCCCAAACACAATAAAGGATAAAAATAAAGAATAAACCCCAACGGGTTACCTATTTCCCAGTGCCTCTGGCAGGCAGCACTCCTCTAGGGGTGGCTTAACCTCTTGCTTGTGCTCTCTGTGCAGGAAACTATGAAGAGCTGACCCTAAGCAACGCATTCAATTTTTGGATGACTCCGTCGGTGGGGCATTTAGCGTTAGCTTTTCTTCAAGGGTCGTTTGCATTCAGCGGCTGGAACTTCTTGAACTATGTAACGGAAGAACTGGTTGATCCCCGCAGGCAAGTATCCACTTCCATGCCATCCGCATTTTTTTGAAGTGCTGAGACATTGGAGCCATCTGGTAGTATCATTCATTTAATAAGCTGCAGCGATGTCATTCCATGTCTATGGGACCAGTGTTTCTAAAGGAGACATAAATTTTTTGTAAAGCAAATAAGATAAAGAAACACTGGAATTAAGAACATATTGCACAAGGCATGAACTGAATCAAACCAGCCTGTCGACAAAGCATTATTTCTACGGCACTCTCCAATCGTACAGTGCTTCTATAGTAGAAGATTAACCATTGAGGAGATGCCACACAAGTATCTATAGGCAGAATCACTGCTATTAGAAAAAAGTTGAATTGCACTGGAAGTTGCTTTGGTTTTGCACCCAAAAGGGATCTTCCGCAGACGCCTGAAAGAGAAGGTTGGAGTCATTGCGCGGCAAAGGCAGCGCTCCCCGCCCCAGCGTGGCCGTGGGCACCTGCCCGCCGGGGCCACTGACATCGGGTCGCTGCTGGCCCAGGGTACGGGAAGGGGCTCGGAAATGATTTATCATGAGCGAGATGGGAAAGCTGGAGGGAACGTGAATTTTAGTTTAGTAAAGCAAAGCTCAAACGTTTTAACATTTCTGAGCTGATCGAGTGGAATGACAAATGCCAGGAGCAGCTCTCGGAGCGTTAGCTATTTCTGGGCATCCAATGCACACAGCAATTAAACAAGGAGAAATTTAAGCTATTACACAGCCTGGATGGGAACGAATTAAAGCTGCAGCCTTATGAGTGGTTCTGCACGTGCCTTCACACTAGTGAGTGGCAAAGTGCACGTCCAGAGATCTTGGCAGGAATAAAGAAAGTGTGGTAATGTGTTCCTTCGATAAAACACCAACATTTTAACGGACCACCACGATTTCAAAGCTGAATAATAAAAAATTATTACTTAAATAAGGCAAATATGGCCTTAATTGAGAAATAAAAAGAAAACTGAGTGAATGGCTTTTTAAAAATTATTTTTGCAGCCTCTGAGGGACAACTAAAATATAAAAAAAAATTGGATAATGAAAAACGCTTCCCATTTTTACTAAATCTGTTCAAAATCACAAAGGTTAAATACATTTTTAAAAAACGGTTTTCCCAATCTGACACACAGAGGAAAATGCGTCGTTGTGTTAGATACAGAACAGTCCAGGTGTCCGCCTCTAAGGAGGTCTCTGGATCGGAGGTCAAGTACATCTGCGCCACGGTAAGCTGCCACGGCGTTGTATGACCAGACCAGCCTGGGACGGGCCAAGGCAGCCACCTGAACAACAGGATCCCGTTCTTTTTCAGAGCAGGTGAAGGTAAAGCAAAACAAGGCATTTTATTCCACCGCTGGTGTCTGTACATAGGGCTTTTGAGGAACGGCTATTTCTTTTTTCAGCAACGCGCTGCCTCAATCCCAATCAACAGCCCAGTGGGAGCACGTGGTATTCTTTGTCCCACGGAGCTCCCGTCCGCAGGCTTGGCGTTTCGCGGCATTTTCAGCCTTCTCCAACCTGCAGCAGGTCAAAGAGCCGCTGGGAGGGCGGCTCCCCTCCGGAGAAACAGCCGGTGAACCCACCCAGCTGGGTGACCTCCCCTGGGCCGTACACGGTTGTTGTGGTCTCGTTGTGCATGACTGTAATTTCTTATCTACCCTCCTAATTCTTTTATTAGGAACCTACCTCGTGCCATATTCATATCCATCCCATTGGTGACATTTGTGTATACGTTCACCAACATTGCATATTTCACTGCCATGTCACCCCAAGAGCTCTTGTCCTCCAACGCTGTGGCGGTAGTAAGTAAACCATTCCCTGGATGTCTAAAACACACTTTGATTTCGGTTCTGTGCTTTGCAGTGTATTTCAGTTTCTCTGCCTTCTGTTGCTTTAGACATTTGGTGAAAAGTTACTGGGCTATTTTTCCTGGGTTATGCCAGTCTCAGTGGCCCTATCTACATTTGGAGGAATAAATGGATACCTTTTTACCTCATCAAGGTTAGATGGAGTACAATTTTATGAACATTATCTAATTCGGGGAGGGGCTGTTTTAATTTAATTTGCTAAAGGAATGTTAGCTAGACGTTTTGGATGTTGTAGAGCATGAGGTCATTGTTGGGTGTGTTAGATACATTCAGTTATGAATTGCTCTGTTTCAAATCAGCAAATGTAATATTCAATCGCGGAATCTTTTGCAAAATAATCTTTACGAGCTACTGAAAGTGTCTGCAGATGTGGAATAGCTCACAGTAAGAGCCAAACACAGCTTTAGCATGGAACCAAAGTCATTTTACACCAATAAAGCTCCAGTAGCTACAAGCTAAACTGTGCTTTGCTCAAAGAGGAGTTTCAGGGCCTGGTGCTCTTCCCAGTTACAGACATTTTCATTCCTGTGCTGGAAGAACTCCTTTCAGGCAAGAGGTTTCGCATGCACGCTGCTGATAGTGGGACTAGAATCTGTAAAGTCTCTTATATTATAGTCTATAAAGTCTAGTTATAGTAATTAACCTGTCTGAACTTAATTAAAAAAAAATAATAATTTTTTTTGTAAGAAACAAACCAAATCTGAAGTACCTTGGGAAAGTTTTTATCTCAGCGCTTTCATGAGTATCATGCAACGCCACAAATCCGAGCGCATACGTAACGGGTTACACACTTAAAAATGAAACCTTAAGGCATGTTAAACCTTATCCAAAAACCTTTTGAAACTGGAAACATTATCTATGAGATTTTTTTATGCCTTGGCTATGTACGTCTGATCACCACACAACCTTCACGGTATTCATGCCACCCTGGGTAAGGAGGTGATGCTGGCCAGCGGGCAGGGACTGGGCAGATTTCAGTCCTACTCCTCGCAGGTAATTCGGCACCCCAGAGCAGTCCATTTCACAGATGGCAATAGCTGTTAAAGGCCTCGCAAAACGAAGGGTCTAGTTTAAATAACTTATGCTGGATTATGCAGGCGGTCTCTAGAGGTCTCCCCAGTTGCAGCCCAGCACCCACCGGCCACAGCTCCCTTCCACGCCAAGGCCGATGAGGGCGGCTGAGGTTAGAGATGTTATACGGCTGGATGTTGAGGAGGCTGTTGTACGCCCAGTGGATTCAGCGTTGCTATCCTTATTTCCAGGTTATGTTTCTCCGGTGCCCGAGAAGGCCATTTGCCGAGTCTGCTTGCCATGATCCACGTCGAGCACTGCACGCCCATCCCCGCCCTGCTCGTCTGTGTAAGTTTTACTGTCGCTGTTCTGCTGCCCTGTAACCTGCTCAGACCTGGGGAAGCTCTTAGAAATATTGAATCACGCAGAGGAGAGCTGGAAAAATCCTTGAGAGGTCATTTTACCCTGGAGGAGGAGAAGTGAGTTGGCCTGGAGCACTGCTGATGAGCTGCTCCGACAGCCCCAAGAAGCCTTCAGCCTCCGAAATATCCCTCCCACGCCCAACCACCCTTGGAGGGTTTCCCTCATACCTAACCTGAGCTGCAATTTAAGCCCATTATCACTTGTCCTTCCCACAGTGGAAATTGAGACTGCCTTCGTCTGGGAACAGAGGTACTTCATTTAAGAAAAGATGAGTTCTTTTGACCAATTTTGCCCGCTTTCCACAAACATTTAACCTGGAGGAAATCACCATGGTCACTGCTAATCCCACTCGAGCAGGGCTGGTTTAGATCCTGCCACCAAAGCCAGAGACGTGGCGGGCCCCGGGGAGAGGACAAAGTGCTCCAGAAGTTACGTATGCTCAACAAGTGAGACATCTTGTGAGGGATGATGCGGCAGTGCTCTGAGGAGCAGGGGTATTTCTCTTCTCTTCTCTTCTCTTCTCTTCTCTTCTCTTCTCTTCTCTTCTCTTCTCTTCTCTTCTCTTCTCTTCTCTTCTCTTCTCTTCTCTTCTCTTCTCTTCTCCTGTAAAAAAAATTAAGTAGGGAGGATGATTACAGCAGCCCTGAATAACGCATCTGCTGGCTGGTACATCAGGCAGACAAGAGGTCACCTGCAAAGATCAGAAACTAGCGGGCCAAGCGTTGGGAGGGGTTGGAGCTGCTCAGGATGCTGGAGTGCTCCCGCGGGAAGATTTCTCTCGCTTTTTATACAGCGTAAATTTCCATGATACTAATGACTTGCAGAAGTTATTATCTGAAAGAAAGAGCTCCGTACGCTTTTGCCAATAGCGAAGCTAGAATATGTGATGGGTTTTAGTGTAGCGTAGGAGACGTTAAAGAGGAAAATGACCCCTGGTGCTGCCGTCCCCGGCTGCGTGGCCCGAGCAAGGGAATTCCCTGCAGGGCATTTACTTGAAATCTCAACTGCATCAACTGCTGCCAACCGCAGATTTGCTACTGGTATCAAACCAGCGAGGTTTGACCCCAGATGCACTCGGAAGGTGCACGTTTATGTGTCTCCCAGCTCTACCAGCAATTCTGGCACAATACACCCAGAACAAATTTCACCAAATAAGCCTCCTGCACATTCCTCTTTTATAACAAAATACGTGTCTAGCTGAGACTTTACGGCATTCCAGGGGCTTAGTGCCCCATCACAAGCATCTTGCGTGTTGCCCGTGAAGGGTTTCGGGGTAAACTGCCCCGGGTCTGCCCTGCGTGGGGCAGCCAGGGAGCGCCGGCCCCGTCGT